CTCCATGTATGAGTTATCATCCATGTTTTAGATGAGAATAAAGAGCCAAAAAACTGTCCAGTTATCACTGATCCATCTCACTCCAGTTGAATAGCAGGGACACCCCATCTAGTCACTTCAGAAAAAATCAGGACCATTCTGACTGTACAGTTTCAAAAATTAAAAACCTTTGACAGTGTTCTCATATATGAGCTGTCATTCCCTGTCTTTTAGATGAGAATAAAACGAAACTGTCCAGTATCATAACAGATCCATCTCACTCCAGGGTGATAGCAGGGACACCCCATAGTAGTCACTCAGAAAAAATCAGGACATTCTCTGATTTAGATTCAAAAATAACAAGACATTTTGAAGTCCTCATATATGAGATCATCCCTGCTTTTTAGACTTGAGAATAAAACAAAACTGTCCCAGTATCATAGATCCATCTCACTCCAGGGTGATAGCAGGACACGCCCCATGTAGTCATCGCTAGAAAAAATCAATTCAGACATTCTGATGATACGTTTTCAAATAAAATACAATTTGGGACAGGGATGATAGCTCATCATATGAGACTTCAAAGGTCTTTATTCTTGAAACGTACATTCAGAATGTCCTGATTTTTCTGAGTGCACGGACATGGGGTGTGTCACGCTAATCCACCTGGAGTGAGGGGATGATCTATATACTGGACAGTCTTTGTTTTACTTCTCATCCAAAAAACAGGGTATGATAGACTCATATTATGGAGACTCAAAGGTCTTTATTTGAAACTCTACATCAGAAATGTCCAATGATTTTTTCTGGGCATGGACATAGACTGCGGTGCCTGCTATCAGCCCTGAAGTGAAATGAGTCTGTTGATATCCTGGACAGTTTTTGTTTATTCTCATCTAAACACAGAGGGAGGATTTTCTTATTACTCTACCGTAATGCAATAGGATATTCGCGCACCGCAATATCACAGTAGAGGGGCGTGGCTTGACTAGGTATTTCCCGAGTGGAGGCTGCGTTGACCGCAGGTTAGTTTTAGCATACTCAGCACGACTCAGGACTGGTTGTTCCATGGCCCTAGAACACGATTTTATGGGGCCATTACATCACCAGATGAGTCCATTTAAGGCGGTAATTTCTCCAAAAGATTTTGTTTTACTTCACTACTAGCAAGCAGCCCGAACCAAAAATATTTTCCACAGGCCGCCCTGGTTATGCTGCTTGTACTAATTAGACTTAATCAATAAAGCCACCCACAGGTTGTTAATAGGATGTATTCATTATCCTTTACTTATGTTGCCGGTCTTTTCAGCAGCCGCCATCTCGTAAACCGGCGATTACAGTCCTACCATCCATTTACATGTTCACCGTGACATGGACAAAAATGTAACGGCCCACTTACCTCATGGCACGAATCCAGGAACTCTCCTTTGGGCAAACATTGGCCGGGAAACGATAGAACAAGCACCGTTTCACTGCGAAGACCTGTAGGCGCAACCGCGAGCAAGCAACAGAAAAACCACTTTGCGTAACATTCAATAGCGTTAGCTTTAGCCAACTTTGTAATGAAACGATACTTGCCGAGTAAAATTGGGAAGAAACTCTGGTAATTAATTGATTCTATATTATGTAAGAACTAGCGCGTGTTAAAAACGACATTTCAAACAATACAGATTCTAATGGTCAGATATAGATATACATGATACTAACAAGATAGGCAGGTACTTGCTTTCAAGGCAGAACACAGGGGAAAACCAACTTAGCAGGGATTTTACCGTATTCGGGCTGTAATGACGTACAACGGCCGTCGACCAATTTCTGTAGTCACTACTTTAGACCCACTCGGTAACAACCATCGTTTTCAGGCACCTAACTCTTCAAACAATTCCAGTGGGGTCATGACTGGATGTATTTTAATGCGTTAGAACAAAAACGTGATTTATCTCTTAAGATTTGTGCTCAACCACAGACCTAATTTCGAGCTATTTTCCATAAACCCTAGGAAAAATGCATTGCTTTTTGAGACAGGAACCGGAAGTGCTAAAATGCTAACTACTTCCTGACGGTTTTAACGTACGCGTCACTGCGGTTCTCTATGGCACCTGTTTGAACTCGTTATCAGTATAAAGACACCTGTCCACAATCTCAAACAGCACACTCCACACTCCACTATGGCCAAAGACCAAGAGCTGTCAAAGGACACCAAAAACAAAATTGTGACCTGCACCGGCTGGGAAGACTGAATCTGCAATAGGTCAAGCATGCTTGGCTTTGAAGAAATCACACTGGGGGAGCAATTATTAGGAAAATGGCAGATCATACAAGACCACTTGATAATCTCCTTTCGATCTGGGGTCCATGCAAGATTCACCCGTGGGGTCAAAAATGATCCTACGAACGGTGAGCAAAAATCCCAGAACCACCATGGGGGGGACCTAGTCACATGAACCTGCAGACGAGCTGGGACAAAGTAACCAAAGGCTACCATCAGTAACGACCACTACGGCCTCCAGGGGACTCAAATCCTGCAGTTGCAGCGTGTCCCTCCTGCTGTAAGCTCAAGTACGATGTCCAGGGCCCGTCTGAAGTTCTGCTAGAGAGCATTTAGAGTGATCAGGAAACGAGGATTGAGAGGAATGGTCATATGGTCAGATGAAACCAAAATAGAACTTTTTGGTAAAAACTCAACTAGACGTGTTTGGAGGAGAAAGAATGCTGAGTTGCATCCAAAGAAAACCATACCTACTGTGAAACATGGGGGTGGAAACATCATGCTTTGGGGCTGTTTTTCTGCAAAGGGACCAGGACGACTGATCGTGTAAAGGAAAGAATGAATGGGGCCATGTATCGTGAGATTTTGAGTGACAACCTCCTTCCATCAGCAAGGGCATTGAAGATGAAACGTGGCTGGGTCTTTCAGCATGACAATGATCCCAAAAACACCGCCCGGGCAACGAAGGAGTAGCTTCGTAAGAAGCATTTTAAGGTCCTGGAGTGGCCTATCCAGTCTCCAGATCTCAACCCCATAGAACATCTTTGGCGGGAGTTGAAAGTCCGTGTTGCCCAGCGACAGCCCCAAAACATCACTGCTCTAGAGGAGATCTGCATGGAGGAATGGGCCAAAATATCAGCAACAGTGTGAAAACCTTGTGAAGACTTACAGAAAACGTTTGACCTCTGTCATTGCCAACAAAGGGTATATAACAATGTATTGAGATGAACTTTTGTTATTGACCAAATACTTATTTTCCACCATATTTTGCAAATAAATTCTTTAAAAATCAGACAATGTGATTTTCTGGATTTTTTTCTTCATTTTGTCTCTCATAGTTGAGGTATACCTAGGATGAAAATTACAGGCCTCTCTCATCTTTTTAAGTGGGAGAACCTGCACAATTGGTGGCTGACTAAATACTTTTTTGCCCCACTGTACATGTCGCAAATTGACAAACCTTTTTGGCAGCAGCGCTGCTACAAGCACTATCAGCAGCAGCTTAGAACAAGTGCAAGATGATGAAGAGAATGATGAAGGCGCGAGTTCAGATATACAGCCAGCCTCCTGCGTTCATGATGAGGGACAGAGTTGAGCTGGTGGAAGAACCATCTCAACTGGCACATACAAGTGCAGGGCAAGAGCAAGAGGTGGGTGAGAATTATCCCTTGAACTCAGTGGCGTTTTCTCCTGGAGGCCAAGGGAAGCCAGGCTTCCCCTGTTTTTTTGGATTGTAGTTATAATTTTAATAAATAAATAAAAACACTTCGTTTAGTTTCGGTAATTATTCTGCCGGCCCATCTCTCCACCATTCTCATTGAGTATTTTACAAAGAGTGAAACAGCGCCCCTCTAGATGTTATGATGAAACAGTAGATTGCACTCTCTGTTGCGAGAGGAGGCTAGCCGAAATTGGCTTCCCTTGGTGAAAATAAATATATATAGACATTTTTATTCATTGGGATAAACCTGATAAAATACTACAATTGCCTAGTCATGCCTCACAATCCAATCAAATCGCATCAACGTCAGTTCGTACTGTAACTGTCATCACTGCCCTTAAAAAGTAGCAAGCAACTGAATCAAGTGCAATTATGGAGGGTGGAGATTTGGAGTATTTCATCAAAAATAATTTTACTAAACTTCCCCTACAAAGCAGCAACTAAAAATGAAATCTGATGACAGACCAATGCCCAAACTGGAGCTGTGTACAGAGAGGAAAAAAGGAGCGAATCGGAAGTAAAGCTTTAAATAATAAACAGCGGATTTCTAACATTTGACATTTCATGTGGCCGGACTGGGTCAGTTTCCAGGCCTGAATTTTAGTCCCAGTCCGCCCCTGACCGTTAATAGCACCACTAGATGCACTTTCAAAAAACGTGCTGCGTTGTGGTTTGGTGGTTTCTATGCAACGCGGAGTGTTGCGTTCATGGTCTGTACTAGTGTAGTAATTTGGCTACGGGAGGCTGGGCCACTCGGGAGTTGGTTCTGGGCCGCATCTGGCCCGCAGGCCGCCAGTTGAATAGGCCTGGTGTAGATAACGAAACCTTGCCTTGCATTGCATTTCAATGATGGTGATGTAAATGTGATGGTGTCTGGCAAGTGGGTTTTCCATATTATAATTTGTATAAAAAGAAAATCCTTAATATGTCATGAAAAAAACTGAAATGACACTCAGAAATACCTGGAACATGGTTTTAACCAGCAGAGCCTCTTCCTCAGGGACGTCAGTGAGCGGCACAGAGCTGGACCAGATCCTCTGCACCTCCCTCAGCTCGCTCTCCCTCTCCTCCTGCTCCTCCATACTCTCTGGGTATCCCAGCAGCACATGAGGGCTGAGGAAGTCCTGCTCCTGCTTCTGCATCACCTCCAGGCAGTCCTGGATATCCTCCCAGCTCCCTTCCACCAGCGTGTCTTTACACACAAACTGCCCGGTGGTTTTGTCGATGAACAAGGAGTAGCTGTCTTTCCTGTCGGACGGATTGATAAAGATGCTCGGGGTGTGGAGGCAGCTGTAGCCATCGTGGAAGGGAATTTCTTTAGAGCGCAGGTACTGTTTTATGTCTGTGATAGTGACAGGAGTTGTAGGAATCTCTAAAGTAGACTTGGCATCCTTTTTATAAGCCCTGGTTCCACTGTGTGCCAGGAAGTAGCCTTTATCAAGAAGCTGTGGAGGTCTATGAAGGAGTCTCTGGGTAAGAAGTCTCACACAGGAAAAGGGTGGGAAGGGTCTTTGGTGCAGAAATCTTGGGGCTGCCACCTGCAAGAGACAGGTGGTGCCCCTCAGCAGCAATTTTCTCCACATTAGTTATCTGGAAACGACATTAAACCTGCACAAAGAGACAGACAGGTTAATTAGCTTACAGCAAAGCTACAACAGAGGTATGTTTGGATGACCTATGCTAGTGTAAGTCACAGAGAGCAAAGACAGCGAGGAAGAAAACCTTTATTTTTGATTAAACAAACACTAGCTATGAAGGAAAATTAGCATGAATGTGCATGAAAGCATCCACTAGAAATACATATCGTTTTAATTAAAAAACAAAGACATAACATTGACTTACTGGCTCTGTCGTCTGCCCTACTTTTCCTCCATGCTTCTCCAAACCCCGGGCTTTTCGGTGCGCTTTCAAAATAAGTCCGTGTGAAACATACGCCAAAGTGCACCGAATGCGTTTATATGTTTATGTTAAATGTGAATTCCTACAAAAAATAAATATGGAATTATAAGAAGTGTTTGTTTCATAATTTGCATCCAACATTTTAAATTTCTTTCAAAATAAGTATTATTATTAAGTTATACCGCGCTCGTGTCATTTAAGTGTTTCCCTCCGGTACATATCATCGACGGACCGGATTACATGCATGCCCGTCAAATCGTCCTCTGTGAATGTTGTTTCTAGCTAGCATATATTTGTCTCTAGCGGTTCTTAAAAAAAACAAATGTTTAATTGAAATATATGAGCTAATTGTGTGTTAAACGATGACATCCAGAGGCACACCGAGTCGCTTCCTGCAGAGTGTTCTTCAGAACGGAGTTGGTCGCTATGTCTGCCAGCTCAAACGACTCTCCATCATCTTCTCCAAAAATGCACAGAGCTCGCTGGGAGTCAGGTAAAATATATGTTACATACATTACTTTAATATAACCTCTTTCTCAAAGTTACAAATGTTAGTAGTTTTTTGTAAATAAATCTGATATTCTTTGGTTAACGAACTAAACCGGAAATTGACTGTATGTTTAAAACCAATAGGCCTACAAACAAAGTACTATCAGTAGGATAAGCACAGCATTAAAAACGTTTTTCCTTCTTTTTCAGGGGGTTCATTGAAGAGGGAGTGGTGGATTATGCCAAATACAACCCTTCAACTGTCGTGTATGTGTCTCCTCAGTCCTGCAGGATACCCAAAATAGTTGCAGAATACCGTAAGTGCTCAAGACTGTGTTTTGATGTGACATCTGACTAATCCTGAATATCTTTCCTCACTTTAGCACAATAAATAGATCAAATAATAATAATAATAATAATAATAATAATAATGCTTTATTGTAGCGATTTCCAGGGAAATAGATTTTTAAAGAATTGCATGCATCTTGGTAATATGGACAAATATACTTGTGTGTCACTCTCCCGATGTTTAAAAAGTTCCCAAATTTAGGAAAAAGGTTTTCTGTGTTGTCTTCTGTAAATCCAACTGCTGTCCCTAAAGAAACGACCTAATACTACTTTGGTGATGCTCAACTACTATAATGCTACTTTAAATCAAAAGCATGAAAACAGGCTCCGGGCTTAACAGGTTAACAGTTAAAAGTGAACAACAGTTAATAATGTGTATTTCTACTCTTAGATACTGTAGGGGGCAGTATAACACTGTTTTTTCTGAGACCTCTATTTAGCTAGAAGTAAAAATCCACTGGGAGTTTCACCCAGATGTATTGGTTCTTTGTGACACTGTTAAGTTTTGCAATAAGAAAAGTATGTACTCTTAAAAGTCACTTGTACTTCATTCTTTTCCCTCCTGCAGTAAACGGCAACGTGAGGGAAGAAATTGTCACAAGCAAAACGTCGATACAGATTTCTGAGGTTTTGACCAAGCTGACCAATCAGTCCGGCCTGGACATCATCCGCCTCCGAAAGCCCTTCCACACAGACAACCCCAGCATCCAGGGCCAGTGGCACCCCTTCACTAACCGGCCCCCGTGCATCGGCCCCATCAGACCTCAGAAACAAGATACTGAACAAGGACTATCCAATATTTAAAGTCAAAATGAATGCTAAATTGTAGTTTACTGTAGAAAGATACATCATTTTTTGAAGCTGTTCAAGTAATCAATACGTTGATATGTTGGATATTTCTGCAGAAGACCTCGCTCTGGACTGGGTATTTTTCACCATGCCCTTTTGTCTTTTGCAATTCTGTGCAGAGCTGTGCCATTATTACCGGCTCTAAATGCCACATTTGAAATAGACGTTACATGAATCCTCCAGTGGCTTGTCAGCAGGCCTATTAAAAAAGCAGATAACTGTTTTTTTAAACCCAAGGTTATTTGAAGATTCATTGTAGTAAAGTGCAGCGCTTCAGAGCAGATGAAACTTTGTATGAAATAAATCTTTAAAAAAAATTGTTCAGTTGCTGGGTGGGCATTGGTGTTTAAATGTAGATTTTCTTCTGAGTTATATTTTCACAGCTTGTCAGAAGATCAGCAGAGCAACACTGATGTGCTGTCTGCTTCATTAGCTTTGACTGATTTAACTGCACTGATAATACTTCACAGACAAGACACATGGCAGAGGAACACCTTTCTTTATTTCCATGACACCAGGGAATGTACATGTTTTTACAGTTTTAGATACTGATAAGGTTTGATGGTTTCCTTAATGCACAACAAATCCCTAAATTAAGATGACAGAAAGCTGTGTGATAGCTTGAGGGAAATCTTTTAAAGGGTAGGGGCCCTTGTATGCTAGTTTTCAGGTTTAAATAGCTTTAATATTCAGAAAGGACTTTATTTTTCTCCTACTGCCTGATGTGCTGCAGCACCTCTTTTCACCCTCTGTCTAAAACAAGAGCCCAGTCTGCTCTGATTGGTTAGCTGGTTCTCTCTGTTGCGATTGGTCTACTGCTTAGAGATGTCCCACAAGATAAAACACAATACAGGAAAGGGAAAAAAAAAAAATAGGGCTACCTTCAGCAGCGCAGAGCTGTCCTGAAAGCTCCTGCAGCGGCTGATTTGTTCGAATTTAACAAGGCTGATATTGGGAAAGATCCTCACTGCTTTCTTTGCAGTTCTCACCCTGAATTCATCATCTTAGACTGAAACATGCCGGCTTTCCCTTTTATTCCCTAACAAATAACCTCAATGTAGTTCTCAACAAAAATACGCCCAAACAAACAGTCCTCCCATGAATACAAATAGGCATGAAAGGTGCCTGCAGGACAGATTGCTCGTTGCTGTTGATTGATGGATACTATTCTGCTGGCATACATAGTTCTGGCCACTAGGAAATGGTTTGGGTATATCTGAGAGAATGCATGTAGAATAGGAGCGTGAGATGACTGCAGAGGATGGTGATCAGTGAGAGACAGTGGAGCAGAGCTCTGCAGTGGCATACTTCTGCTGATTTCACTCATTGTCTTCCAAATATCTATACTTGAGGATCATTTGTTATAAGAATGTGGATGCCATGTCCAACTGAATTACCCTCTCAGCCATAAAGACTGCAGTTCCTGATGTGATAGATGTCCTGCAAATAAAGCTTGTGACATTTTAATGATCTGTGCACTTATATCACCACATCTATGTCAAGTTAAAATGTCTTAGCCTTAAAAGGAATTAAAGCATGATTGTGTGAAAATGCTAATTTCCTGCATTTTAATTTATATATGCCACCAATTACAGATATCAGGGCCAGTACACTCCCATCACACCCGCACTACCCAATGAAAACTGGCAAAGCTAGACCCACACTAGGACATTTAAAACTCTAAATAAAGATGCTGTTGCTAAGTTACTGCCTTGCTCTGAAATATGGTCATTTTATCCCCCCTCTGAGCCTATGTTATACCTCTGCTCTGTCAGAGTCATATATGTAAATGACTGTGGGCTCCATTCCCAGTGGAGTTCCCAGTGGCCTTGTCGCTTGCCACAAGCTAAAAACAACCGAGTGTTGTGGCGTCTGGAGAGTTGGACTCAGTTTGAGCATGTTTTGCAAGTCATTTCCTGTCTTCCCCTCAAGGCTCTTGACGCTGACGTTTTTGTTTCCCCACAAGATGAACATAAGTGTTATTTAATCTGCACAGAGGCAAGTTGAAATTTAATGAACTTCAATAAATAAGACATGAGACACAACATAAAAGGTCTGCAACAACGTAGGTGGTTAAATCGTACAGGAAGCCAGTTCTATTCTGAGAAAAGCACATAGATAAGGTCATCATCAACAAAAGAAATCATACAGAAAAAACTTGATGGAAAGTGTATGGGAGAGGATTAGGGCCACTTTTTTTCAAGATCCGACCAAAAGGTTCTTTTAATTTTGTTGTGAGATTAAAGTCACAATTCTGAGAAAAATACAGAAATCTGACTTTAATCTCAAAAAGAGTGTTTCATCCTCTTCCGTCAAAGTGTCACAGTTTACAAGAGTATATTATATGACGTTTAAAAAAATACTAACAGTGCAAAAGGAACTACTGTCTTTGGCCGACACCTAAAAAATAATTACATAAAATATACTCTATCTTGCATATTGACGCAGCGGGATGTTTGCTTCAATCTGGATTTATGTACATAGACAAGGTGAATGTAATGCAATATGTTTTTAAAGTCCATATAGAAAACAGGGTAGAGACAGTGTCTTTTGTAAACAGATTGTCCTTAAATGAGAATGAAGCAGCAGCAAAGGTCGCAGATTCAGACAAAGCTTTCAACATGTGAAGGATTGTCAACATCTATCATAAGGGACCTTGATAATGGAAGCCTTTATATAATAAATGTGTAGGTACCGTATAGTAACATGTTGAACTCAGGAGAAACTGCAATCTTTTTTACATATCTTGAATTTGCAATTAGATGTAACCCAACAAAAAAATGTCTTCACATCTTTGATTTAAATAAAATAAATAAAATTAGCATGGATCAGAAAATATGCACAATCCTAGTCAACCTCTCTGAAAAAATGGAGAGTAGCATGTTGAACTAGTGCAGAAAACCAACTTGTTCCACAAACACAAACTCTAGGGCTATTTAAAAACGAGTTCTAATGGATTGGGGGCCACAATGGCATTTGTAAATTCAGCAGGGTCCTTGAGAGAGTGTGAATGTGAGCAGAGAGAGTAATAGTTGATAATGTCATGAGAACTGATGAGACGGGAAGGAACAACAGAGAGGGAGAGAGGGGAGGAATGAGGATGAAAATCAAGTGAAATAGCTAAAAAGGCTGATAAAAAACATGCAAAGTGCAAATGAGTATGGTCATCTTTTTTCTTCATGGCTGATTAGGACACACAGGTGAGGTTGTATCATACGGAGAAACACATCTAAGGAGAGCTTCATAGCTGAGGTCTGAGAACGTTTGGATTTATAGTTAACTGACAATAGTTCACTCTTTCTTATGAGAAGTAATCCAATACATAT